TCCTGTAAACATTGGTAATTTTTCTCCACTCGTTTGGCTACTATTCAAGTCCTTTCCTTTCACATAACGTCTATTCTTCTACTGAAAATGACAACTATTTATGTGAAGTTGTAGATACTTGAATGAAATTTATTGAAATATAAGAAAAATTTATATGACAAATTTTTTTTAATAGGCTATATCGTATTGAGAAAACATGTAAGATGCAAATTAAATTTTATATATATATAAAATTTAATTTGGATCTTACATATATATATATAAATAATGGCGGCTATTATTAATTAGTGCTGTTTTACATAATTATGACAAAAGTGATTTATTTGTCTATCATATGTATCATTAAATGTATAATAGATGTTATATGATATTTTCAAAACTACTTTTTAATATTGATAATATACCAATAACGTAATAGCTGCTTAATATCTTCTTTAAATTTTTACGAAATGACCGCGTAAAATATATGATAGCGACGTCTATCGCCAACAGTCTGGTACTATTGTGGTACTAGATGGCGCTATTACAAATTTCTCTGCGCAATCACGGTGGCGTTTCGTGGCGTCGTCACAATCACAGTACAGTGGTGGAATGGGTAAAGGCAGTACGAGGGTGGAGCAGATGCAGAATCTTAGCAATTTTGTTAGGTTAAGAGTTAGAACGTATCGCCTGTTTAAATTATTATATTGTACTTCGTGGCGTCTTATTAATTCTACAACGTGGAATGAACATTTACAATAATTTGTGATCGATTCATTCAAATGTTGTGAACTGTTATAAATTCACAGTGATTAGAGTGCAATGAACAACAGTAATTATGATAAATGCACCAAACATAATTGCCGGTGATAGTGACGATTGAATTTTTCATATACAAGCGGAATAATTTGAATTTAATATTTACCACAAATACGTATGTATTTTATTTTCACAAAAGTAAATTTGTAAAAACAACGTTTAATATAAATTTAGGTTTGGATATTGTGCTATGTAATTACTACGTAATTGCGTTTATGTTCCTAGGTTAAAAATGCAAAGAGAGGAAAAGCAATTAGATTCTGCCTTGGAGGCGATTATTTTAAGGATAAATGACCTAAAAACATCCATAGCTTCCATGATATTCAAATTAGAGCATGAGTACGAAACATTAAATTGGCCTAATTTTCTCGACAATTTCGCACTTATTTCAGGACATGTAAGTAAGGTTATACGAATAAAGCGAATATACAGGGTGTTACCGGATGGGTAGTATTATCAGGCAGGGGGTGATTCTACGTTCGAAAATAAATCGAAAAAAAGGAATAACATTTTTCTGTTTGAAGCTTCGTTTACGAGAAAATCGAGTTTGAAAATGTATAGATAATAATAGTTTTGTTATTAGTTACATTTTTTTTACATTAAGTGAACTGTTGAAAGTGCCGACCTTGCTGACGTGTACATAACCTCGCTCTTATTATCAGTGAATCATGGACTGATGCGACATCATTTCGTCGCTTTACTTGATTGAAAACATTTATTATTCTTTCCCTTAGCTGTGAAAGATTCTTGCCTGTAATACTTACCTGCTGCTGTTGCACTCTCATTGCAAGCTCCTAACGCTTTCAACATCTCAACGTATTCACGATTGCTGTAGTGAGACATTGTTATAATTCGACTGATACAACAGCCGGTAGCCTTACTGCTGAAGACGGAATGTAAACATTACAGAGAACAACAAATATGAAAGTGTAAACGAACATAATCATGCTCTCGTAAATGAAGCTTCAAACAGAAAAATGTTATTCTTTTTTTCCTACTTATTTTCGCATGTAGAATCATCCCCTGTCCGATGATACCACTCGTCTGATAACACCCTGTATAATTTGAGTTTGTACTTTGATTTTCTTATAATAACTAATTGTATCTAAAATGAATTGTAGTTAACTAGTCTCTCAAAAATTCTGGGACATGATAAGGCACCAAACTTGCGAAACCTAACAGTTTTACCACTAAGATTATGTCCTGAGAAAGACGAAGAATTATTTCGATTGACAGAAGGTAGAATTTCTACTTTTGCTCATGATTTAGTACCAGATTATCTACGAACCAAAGTGGAACCTCAAGCTGAACAGAAAATGCTACAGCTTGAAGCAAAAGCTGCAAATTTAAATTATGAAACATCGCATGTAAGACACACATTTATTACGTATATATCTTATCTATTTATTAAAATAAGTAGCAAAATAATTTTAACAAATCTTCTTATCTTTCATAATAATACAGTTAAACATAAAACTTCAATAAAACATACTCTAAATTCAGATTTCAATACTCTTGTTCGAAACACTTTAAGAGACATGGATACAATTGTACATCTGTATTGTCTTATTGTAGAAGCTTAAGGATAACTTAAGATGTTCTATTTCTCTGTTAATGTGCTAACTATACAACAACTAGGACTGCAATGTAAGCTACTATCAGCTAGCTTTCAGCTTCTATTAGTTCCATTCGCTTTGGACTGAAACTAAGAAAAACATCTTTTTACATACAGTATAAAATAATTTCAATACTTTAAGGGTATTCTTAAAGATATGTTCTGTATCCTACAGTTCTACATATAGAAACTATACATTTTCTCTTAAAATATAATTTCTATCAAGTAGAAACAGTATCTTTCATACTATTATAAGTTATAACTTTATTTTTAATGAGATAAAAAGAATGTACCAATTAACTTGAAGCTATTAGAGGAAATAATTGCCAAATATTTTGTGTATAATTACATCTAATATTTGTACAGAAGAAGAAACCAGATATGTTATTCATATGTAATGAATAATTTCCTGTAGTAGTTTTAGTGTAGTAGTTTTAGTAATAATCGGTCCATTTAGCGAGTGGAACACTTAAAGTGTTTTGTATCATTCATGTTATATTTTGAATTGTATAAATTTTCAGAAACAAGTGGCACAATACACCAAAGTTATTAGTCATATATGGGATATAGCAAACAAAGCACGAGAAGAGTGGGAAAGCGAAGCTGGATCTAGAGCAACTCAAGCTCAGACTAGTAGTACAGCAGACACTCATGCTCTTGTAGCAGCAGTTGGTATGGGTAAAAGTTTGAAGGTAAATCTCGTATATACTTATTTACTATGTTTATACATTTATACATATACATATATTCATGTATCTTTTCTAATATATTTTTTCGTTTTTACAGTCTGATACTGTCCAAATGGTTCAATCTGGTGTTAATTCTGTAGCTAGTGGAATGATGGTAGGAAGACCAGGAAATCAGCAACAAGCTTCAGGACAAGGATCTTTAGGAAATCCACCTAGTAAGATTTAATTCAATTCAGACTATAATTTTCCTTGATGTTCGCTACATTTGTAATAATATTGAATACTTTTTCTATATTTACAGTGGGACAAATGAATAAAGCTCCAAGTGCAATTAAAACTAACATTAAAGCAGCATCACAAATTCATCCATATAGGTAATGTATTTTAATTAATTTAGCCATAAGATATGGTTAAAACAATAATAATTTTAATATTTGTTACATCTGCAAAATATTGCAAGTTTTCCTTAAACAATATTTATTGTATTATTGACATTTTCATATCTAATTATAGTTCAGATGAAATGTATAATATTTGTAATAAAACAAATGAGCATATGCAAAGATTTTTTACCTGTAGACAGAAATGTACAAATTTTACAAAAAATATTTGCATTTTAAACATTTTGTGGGGAAAATAACAAGAGATGTTTACTGGTGAAGGAAATTTAAATTTATTTTTTAGTTTTTCCACGACACGATTGCATACGACCGTGGAGATAAACGCTTATTAGTAACTGAAATAATTGTTGCTTCTAATCCCTGTTCTCGCATCCAGCATAATCTGTCCTGAAGGAGAAGGGATTCTGCGGATGCTTGTAATACTAATTGTAGAGCTGTATAAAGTTCTACCATTTTTAGTTTGTCGCAATGCATTTCCCATAATTTCATAATATTTTTCTCGTACACTTCTCTGCTAAATTGTACATCTAAAAAAAGTAAATTTAATATTGCAATATTCAAGGGCAGTCTAAGCCAGAAATATTTAAAAATCTACATTCAAATCACCTTGTTCTTCGACGTTTGTTTCTTTTTGTGATTGAAAAGTATATCTCTTCAATGAGTCCTTAACGTAAGTTTCGAAATTCGAACACTGTGACTTTCTTGTTCCTTTTTGAGTACGTTTTTTAAGAGAAAAATGACCTGAAAAATATTTCATAAATAAGTATTTATTGCATTTTTGCACTAACGAATTTAAGAGAAAAAAATACACATGTATACTTTGAGTAGCATATAATTGAAGAAGCGCTCTTGCAAGTACATAGAAGGAGTGTTTGCTATGACTTTCAGTGGTCATGTTTGTCCAGCTTTCTGCTGATTCTTGACATGCTAATCTTAAAAATGGCTGTCTTAAAAAACAACCGATATCAAAATTACTATTTTCAATTACACTTTTGAAACAAGTAGACAATGGAAAATTATTGAAGTATTGTTTTTTAGCTGATGCATTCGTATCTACGTCTTTCGATATTGAAAGTTTATGGTAGCAGCAGGATATCATAATAAAAATTCGAGCTGCATCCATATCACGAAATATTTTTGATGCATTGATACTAAGATCTCCGCAAGCGTGCAGACCAATCAAACATACATCCGACTTTTCTTGAAATTCATTCCGCAAAACTGCTTCGATCGTTGCAATCGAATTGCATGTTAAATCGCAACAACTATATTTAACATGTTGTAGTGATTCAGGATACATTTTGGCTTGTCTGCGTTTGGCATTGTTTACATTTTCCTGATTTTTTTCTAATCCCAGAACTTTGTAGCCGTACAAATAATGTAGAAGTTGGCAAACGTATCCCTGCAATATACGTATTCGACGTTTTAGTTTTAAAAGAAGAACTATAAATATATCAATTTGATTAATTTTATACATAAACATCTATCTTACCAGCCCAGCACCGAGGTCGACAATCATTTTGATTTTAAGCCGTGCACATTGCATATGCACTAAATGTGCCATGTGTACTATTTCGTGTTGTTTTTTATCATTAAGTCCTAATTGGAACTCTTTTGGCAATTTTGCGAGTAATGCAATATTTGAGGTTGGCAATCGGTCAATACATTTGCATTTTTCGACGAAGGCTTTCAATTCATTTGGCCAGTGTGCCTGAAGAATTAAATACTTTACATGTCAATTAAATAAATTCATTTTTCGATATTGTTTATTTACCAACATTTGTCTTCTTTTTCACAACAAAGTCATTGAGTTCTTGATTCCCTAACATTTCTAAAACATTCAACCACTCCTTTGGAAATGAATCAAGTAATCCCTTCGTTAATAAATCCGTAACCGGCGTATTGTGAAGCCATTGTGTTTCAGAGAACAAATTCAGTGCATTCAGGAAATATTTATTTTCTGTGCATTTATCTACATGCGCCATCTAATATAAAAAAAAATAACAAATTTTTAATGTTAATTTTTACGTATTAAAACTTTGGATGGAATTTATACAATACATATTTACAGTATCATAATTCATTTTTGATATAATTTATTGTACACAAATTACATTATCCAATTAACATCTCCTAACATTACTCTACAATATACATGCAACAATAAATTGATTATAGCGAGTAACATCGACAAATATCTTCCCGAAATGTTTATTCCATTGCTCTCGCTTGAGCATCTTCATCTTGATTTTGAATTATCCAATTTTCCGAATGCCTATTCAATAAATCCGAATTATCTGATCCAATTAGTGCACGTCCTACTCTAATATTCTTTTGACCAGGTTCTAAGTATTTTTCGGCAACATACACGAGTTGATCTTTAGTCACAGCTTTCAGTTGTTGTCGATAGTTTTGAATATCGTCATCCGTGATGTTCTGTATGAATTTAATCATGCCGCGATTACTCGGAGGAATTGGAACATCGATACGTTGGAATACACCTAATTTTGCTTCATCGATATCACTTTGAGAAATCGAATACTTTGATAAGAAATCATACGTTCTATCGAACAAGTCTAACGTGCGAGTGGAATTAGGATCTCTGTAAGAGTAAAATGTGAAGACTCCATCAGATGATATTTTTGCACCGCCGCCATAAGCGCCACCCTTTTCGCGAATTTCTGGATGTAAATAAATTGATGAAATTAATTTAGAAAGGACTTGCAATGGTGCATAATCGGAGTCTGTATATGGCACAGTTAATATTGCTTTTGCTGCATAATTTACTGTATATGGTAATACATAATGGATAGCACTTTCTCCTGTCTCAACACTCTGATCATGTGTGTAAATATATGGATCTTTAGATGTACCCTTCAATGATCTATAAAATTCTTCGATACTATTTAAAATACTGTCCTTGTTAGTCTCAGATAAATTTATGGCTGATCTTAAGTGTTGTTTGTTCAAAATTTGTGCAGATATCTCTTGCATTTTCTGGAATATGAAACTTAAGTCTTGCAATTGAGCAATCTTTTTCATTCTAGAAACATATTGTAATCCTGATATAGTTTCCTTGAATTTTGTAACTGGTGAAACTAAACTCGCTGCAGTGCTCATAGCATAAACATGCCCGGAGTCCGCAATTCCATTTACTAAATTTGCTGCAGATGTTTTAATAAGCGTTTCAAATCTCCGGAGATCAGACAATTTCACATTGTTGAACACTTCCAACCATAGTTTCCACATATCGTTTACATTACGGTCCAAACAATACGACTCTATTATTACTCCTTCCTCATATTGAGATAAATTACTCTTATGCTCTACAACGTGACTCGAAAAATTTAAACCTCCAGTTTTCAATCGTATTATCTCATCAAAATTTCTGTAATCATAGTTTTCTGTTCCCATTTTCGTGATGATATCATTAAAAAGCGGTAACAAATTCTTCAATTCTGTACTTAGCCCTTGTGTATTTAGAATTCCACGATAATAACAAACGTTATTTGTTGGCTCAATAGCTACTTGTAATGGAATATCAGCTACTATTGTATCAATGAAGTTACATCGTTCTACATCCGTTTTTATATCCTCAATTTTTAAAGTAGGAAGAACAGTTAGATCCTCCTTCTTTTGTTGTTCTTTAAGTAATTCTTGTCCCTCAACATAAATCTGATCTAAATCTTCCTTGGAGAGTTGCTTTAATTTAGATTCTAATAATTCGCGTTCAGCGGTCGTTTTTTCGTGATCGTATCGTTCATTTGGAAGCATTGTTAAAGTAATTCTATGAGTGTTATCCATGAAGTATGTTTTTACGAATTCTTGAAGATACTTGGGATTTCTTTCCATTTTTTGCCGGAAATTTCCGATTGCCTCATTAATTCTCATCGATTTTATGAGGTCACCATCGTGATTCCATAACGGTGTTAAATTGAAAAGTAACTGTAATCCAAAATTAGAAGTTTGATGTTTTCTGTGAAGTTCAATGCTGTGTAAAACGGCTTCGATTCGATTTTTTTCAAAACCCTTCTCAATAACATTTTGTAGAGTTTCATGAAAGACGTGTTCTACTTTCTCAAAATTTTCTTTCTGAATACCGAGTAAACTCAAAGCAAACATTGTATCTTTACAATGAGGATCATAACCAGTCATTGGTCCAAAAGCAACTCCTAAATTTGATTCCACCAACGATTTATAAAATTCCGATTTTGGACCGCTCAAAAGAAGCTGAGATAAGAGATACATCTCGAAAGTTTTTTGCGTGTCAATTATATCATTGCACAAGTAACCTATAGCTATAGTGCCTTGCCGATCAGGATTTGCAGCCATAGGATCTGGTCTACATGAAATATGTTCTTTTCTTGCTTCTTCCCAACGTTTCTCCGAAGGAACTACCGACATAGATCTATCAATTTTATTTGATAAAAATAAATATCGGTCATTAATAAATTTTAAATGATCTTCTAAAGGAAAGTTGCCATACGAATAGAATCTACTATTCGATGGATGATAATAAGTTTGATGGAAATTGATCAAATCAATGTGTCTTAGATTAGGAATTACAAGAGGGTCCCCTCCAGAAATTACTGAGTATGTATGACTAGGTAAGATACTATTCAATAATCGTTCTGCTAATATAGCTTGATTTTCGTTGAAAACACCTTTCATTTCATTAAAAACCACTCCTTTGAATATTATCGGTGAATTTTTATCATTAACATCTGTATGTTCCAATCTCCAACCTTCTTGTCTAAAATCAAGTTCTCGCAAATTTGGTTTAAATACTGAGTCCAGATATACAGACTGTAAATTTTGGTAATCCTTCAAGTTTTGTGTAGAAAATGGATATATCGTATAATCAGGTCCTGTCATAGCATTCATAAAGGTAGCTAATGATCGTCTCAGCATTCTAAAGAATGGATCTCTGCATGGATATCTCTCACTGCCACAAAGAGTGATGTGTTCCAAAATGTGAGGCAATCCTGTAGAATCCATTGGAGTTGTGCGAAATCCAACAGAAAAGACATTGTTACTATCGTCTCTGGCTAAATGCAGATACTGAGCTCCGCTACCCAAATGAGTTAATCTCACTGCAGTCAATTGTATTTCATCTACATTTGCAATTTCATTCACTATGAAACCATTGATAACCTGATCTTCTTGAAATTTAATAGACTCTTGAGGAGATGCATTTAATTTGTAATGTGTAGGGACAGTTGTTATGCTTCTTTCAAAATTACTGTTGCGATATTTCAAAAACAGTTGTAGTCCCAGTGGACGGGAACAAAATTTTCTAGATAAATTTGGGATCCTCAACATTGTTCTATAGTTCTTATAGTACCTGTGAAAAAGAGAAAAACAATATGACTTTAACGGATACCATTTAGTACCGGAAATTTTTAGCCGCTAACCTCTATTTGAATTCGGTAAACTTTTCCTTTACACATTTTAATGATACAAATAAATAGTTAGTTGTTCTGAGTAATCGATTGAAATTTCAACAAATTATATGTTCTTCACATTTGTAAAAATTGATATTTAAGAAGTATTTACGAAATACAAACCTGCGATTCTTTTTATACTTCCGTCACGTTGTAAATAATTATAGCACCGACAAATATTTAACAAACATTAACATGGATATTAAGTATAAAGATTTGTTAGTGTACGATAACAAATAGTATTAGTTATTGCAAAGACTAATACTAGTGATATTTCTTAACTATAAAGCTATACAATAAAAGTTAAATTTTCTCTGTACCTACACAATTGCACGTGCACTTATCTTGACAGAAAATACTTGTTTTTAGAATGTGACGTCTATTCCTTAATTCACATTAATTTATTAAAATTTCTGAAAATATAATTACAATACTGTTCACTGTACCAATAAATAATTACACACTTTATCGCGTCTTCTTGAAGGAAATTAAACGGGCAGGATCTTGACGAACGACAATTGAATATTTTGGAAATTCTATTACACAGAAAGCACGTAGTTCAATTTTTCTAACAGTAGCACTAGACATTAATGAAGCATGCATGTAAATATGGTTTTACAATTACAAAATTATATGCGCATTATTTTCATAAATATCCACCTTATTCTTTCATCCGAAGGGACATTGCGATGTATGGTATTCTCATCTCCGTTATGCTGTTTCGTGGTGTACATATGTTTTGTAGTCGTTAATGAACTTGACTAAATTTTCTTGTATTAAACATCTTAAGAAACTTCCGCTACAAAAAACTATTCAACACTAATAAACATCGTTTCTGTTGTTCGACGATAATTTTGAGATACACTTGGACAGTTTGAATTTCTTCGCGTCACGAAATAATCTCAGCATAGATGGGAACGCTATTTTTCGCAGCGCCACAAAGAAGGTCGTAATTCGATGGCCAAAGCGAGCGCATTACAAGCAGTTTGGGTTAAAATACGCGGGTGACCAATGATCGTCGGATTTTTTTCGAGATTGTCGATCCAGTGGAAACGCGTCCACGACACGTCAGAGAAAGCAATACGAAGCGATGCATTCATGAGACGAGGCGCAAGATCTATGACGATCGAAGAACGCGCACTTCTTGCATTTTTGTGACTGGTAGACCGTCCACAGATCCAACGATTTCAATTAGCCATGAACAGCGCGTAAGTGCATTCCGATGAGATTCGGGACAGTTGAGTTGTCGCGCTTGAAATCGGTATGACGGATTCCCGGTTATTCGCCTATTGTATGCGCTTCGGCAACTCGTCGGTTCGCGCGAGTGGAAGGCCCCGAATGGCGCTCATGTATAATCGCCGGGAGTGCAATGCTAACAAGTAGTCCAGCTGACTCTGACAAAATGGTAGGGTACTCGCGTCCTGCGGGAGCTAATACGTTTCTATACACATAATTCGAACGCCTCCGGTGACGGAGTACAATGAGTACTGATAACCATGACCAAACGGAGCCCTGCGTCAGCAAACCATCCGCGAGAATCGAGTTTAACGCCGACGAGAAAGCGTTCGACGGCAGGCGGATCAAAAAGGAACGGAGCGATGTTAGTGTCGAGAACGGTGATGGCAGCGTCAATGTCTGCGTCGGCGATAATAACAAGCAACCACAGCCAAGCCAGCGCCCGGCTGCCGGTAGGCTTTCGAACGGCTTCCACGACGGTGACCCACTTCAAGACATCATCGCGGCCAAGTTCACGGCCCTGGCGAATCATGACACGACTGCCAAACACGAAAAAATTCGTTTTATGCTTGAAGACAGTATCGGGTAAGCTCAAAATTATTCCCCTCTTTCTCTTGCTTTCTCTTGTTCTCTCGTTTCCCCCCTCCTTGTCACGACTCTCGAACGTAACTGCTATTCGAAAGCTTAGTGCAGTTTCCGGCAGCTTTTGTAACGAAAATTATAAATGATTTTTCGCAATTATTCAAGCCTACACCTGTTAAAAATCTATTTCTACAATAATACAATAGAATCTCGATGTTACAAATTTTCAGAACTGGAAAATTTCCATAAGGCAACGATTTTCATTGTTTCCCTCCACTTTATTGGAAAAGATCTGTATACATTGAAATAGAAATTTTCTTTACCTCGGGGAACATTTGGATCTCTGTAAATCAATGTCTTGTTCGTCAGAAATTTTGTCATCGTTAAATGGAAATTACAAAATGGAATTACAATTGCAAAAGCAAGTTCACGAAAGCAAGTTGGAGTAAAAGATGGAAAGAAAAATCCAAAAAATTATACCATAAATTAGAATAATCTTCTGTGCAAAGTACTTAATGTTCCTGTTCTATGTGGAATACCCATGATTCAATCATTTTCTTCCCGTTTTCATTAATACATTAATGTATTATTTGTTAAAGGTTGTTTATTATATATATACATATAATAATTGTAAATATATAACAATCTTCAACAAGTAAAACATTCATATGTTATTTGATAAAAACCATGTCTGGCTATAACACATTTTATTTTACGTTTTGTACGATTTCAGGATTATTTAGAATTAAAAATGTATTGAGTTCCCTTAAATTGTAAGAAAGAAATATGTCTTTACTAATGATTTAATTTAATTTATGCTTTAATAATAGTTGCACTATAATGTATAGTGTTATAAGAATATATGTATTATTAAAGGTGTGTGAAATATTAGTTTTGCTAATTGTACATTGGTTCTTATACATAGTGAAGAATCGAAAACACGCATTCAGAATATCTTTTCACAAATTGAACAACTCAAAATAGAAGAAAAACTGTTACTGTACCTGAAACTTCCACTATCACTGACCAATACTGGGGGAACTATAGATCCACTGAGACAACCATTAAATCCATTGGGTAATCGTTATGAAATTCACCAAACAATCATGTGGATTAAAACACATTTGGAAGAAGACCCTGATGTCTCTTTACCAAAGCAAGAAGTTTATGATGAATATAAGTAAGTATTAGTATAGTAAGTTGTACTATACAAGCACAAGTCATGTTACTTTCTACTTTGGAAATTTTTCACAGCATGTACTGTATGCGTAATTTTATGAAACCCTTATCGACTGCTGACTTTGGAAAAGTAATGAAGCAAGTGTACCCTCAAGTTCGACCTCGCAGACTTGGCACGAGAGGCAATTCGCGTTATTGTTATGCTGGAATGCGCAAACGAGTTAAATTGGATTCACCAACATTGCCTAACATAGCTGGAACTCAAACTGTAAGGCATAAAACTACACTTAAAACATACAAAATAATTCCTATAATGGAAAACCCAATAGATCTGCTACGTAGCTTGAAAACATACTTTGTAAAGGTTTCTAAAACAATACATTTTTCTAAGTAAATGCTCAAATTTTTAGGGTGATGAGGTAGATGAAAACATTACAGAAGAAATGCTGGGAGCTGCATCTACAGTGATTAGAGAATGGGCAGAAAACTCGTTGAATTTAAAATTTCCAACTTTGAGTGCCTTAGCACGTCATCTTGTTGATAATTTTTGTGTTGATACACGATCATTGGCTGCTGTATGCATATTATGTCCTCCGGGAGACTCCAATGCATCTACAAATAAAGGTGTGTTATTAATTGTACACTTTGTTGGAAGTGTATCGCATTGAGCATAAATTAATAATTAAATGATGCAATTAGAGTCCAGTACAGATGTACATGTAACTCCTTTGTCTACGAAATCTGGAAAACTTCGGGAAGCACAATTACAATTACAACGAAAGTTACAGCAGCGGGAACATATAAGGGATCAAAAACATCATCGTTTCGATGCTGTTATCCAGGTATAAAACATTTGATGAAAGTAAGCTGAATATTTTTTAATACATGTGTAAAAGGATTAGCAGAATGTGATTAAATTTGATACGACAGACCGTTTTAACATTGTATAACTGTTTGTAGAATCAGAACAAAGAGAAGACTGTTGATAACAAATCAGGCGCAAACAAAGGAAATAAGAAAACAAAGTCCATTCAGTCATCGCAAGGTACAAATATATCGAGTGGACATAATGCATCAGCGAAGTTCAATTTGTCTGCCGTGGTAACCGGCCGGCAGAAAAGGGTTCTTAAAACTAATAGTCAGCCATGTAACGTCTCCCTGGAATCCAACTGTGATAATGTAGTGGTACAATCGATCGAAGACATACAGAATAATAGCAACTCTAGTGTAGTGATGACCAACTGCGTAAATACACAGCGAGATGTCAAGCCGAAAAATTCCAGAAAGCGTGCCAATCCAATTATATTGAACCAACAATCAGATACCAGCCCAGAGAAACAAACGAAACTCACAGAACAGCAAACGCAAGAGAATGTCGAACATTCCAATATGTTGTTGCCTAAACTCACACCTGTACAACATTCTGAGAAACTATCGGTGACATTAACTGGTAATCTGAAATCTAGCAAGTGTAATGTCAGCGAGGCTGTTAGTAACCAGCCCGCTAAAAACTGTGATATTGAACTGTCAGTATGTTCAAAGAGTTGTGTTAAAGTGAACGGTTGCCCTAGCAGTTTTGAACGTAGTTCGAACGCAGCCGAGGAATCTACAATCTTAACGAAAGATCAGATTCGATTGTTGCAGGAAAATACAAATCTCATAGGTAAAACCGAGAAGCTCCGTTCGATGAATTCCGATACCTTGGTCGATTATTTGAACGGAGGTAACAATTCCCAAGAGCAAGAGGAAGAATTACTACAGTATTTTCAACAAAGTAGCTCGTCAAGTTCAGACGTGGAAGCCAATACTATAGCTACCGATGAACAAATATCAAGATCTGATAAAGTGTCGCAACTAAGACTAATATTACAGCAGAACTTGAAATCTGGTACTCTGCACACGCCTTTAGATATAATACCCTCTGCCATTATTCGGCAGAATGTTGAAAAACGTGAGATCACTCAGAAACATAATTTAATACTACCAACGCTGCTGAATCATTCGAATCAAAGCAATACTAGACGTAGGGTCAGTTTCGAGACGAATGTCGTGGAGCATGTACAAGATTCGAATGTTATCATGAATACGGTACCACAGAGTCCCAACACACGTCGTAGAATATTTAATTTCACACCGATATCACCAGGTCCGCATTCACCCATCAACGGCCGTACTTCCAAATCGAATTCCGCGAATGCTAGTCCATTTGTGTCACCGCGAAACACACCTGTGCCACGCTCGAGAAGTAATTTGCAAGCAGGCAGTTCCAGGGCTCGTGCTCACAAGTCATTGTCGCGTTCTGTCTCTTGCAGCATGCCTTATATTAGTAAGAACGATACTTTTGTTGTTCCTACAAGTGGTCCAGAATTAGTTAGGCAAACGTCTACACCGCAAGTACCATTAATTTCGACGAAATCGTCGGAAGTGCAAGTCGGCAGCAGTACACCACAAATTTCTGTTACTTCGAAAGTGGAAGCACAGAGACAGCAGTGTGCCGCATTCTTGTCTTCTGATCTAGCGCCGCAAAAGCAACTACTCATCAACTATCCGAGTCAAGAGAACTTGCAAGAGATCAAGAATGTATATCAAAAGAATCAACCCGACCAGGAAATCAGTGAATTGTTCCACGGCAACAAGCAGTTTACTAATGAACTCTATCGGTCGCAATCTGTTCCGTTGCACAGAATGGTCAATCCGGCGTTAATGTCACCAATCTCGACGCAACATTGCATGTCGACGTTTCAGAGTCAGAGCTTTAATCCTTCTACGAGCAGCTCTATAGCGCCTACACCAGTACCTAGTGAATTTACCGACTTTGGGTCGATCGGCCCATCGGAAGGGACTTCGACATATTTGCTTGACGACGTAGATCCAAATTTCATGTCGGATGATCAACATTTTTTGATGAGCGATAAAGAGATAACACCTGAAAACATCACGAACATATTGAACATTCTGGACGAGGAGGGTGCACAGAGCTTACAAATTCTACCAGACCAAACTGCCGAAGAAAGCTTGATAGAGAACAATGCAATTGTGCTGGACACTTTACCAAATTCAAACTTGAACTTGTCAGAAGAAGATGTGTTGGACCCGTCTAATGTGCACGATATCCCTGTAGGCGGGGACTTACAGAAAATAATACAATCACGCTCCTATCCTAACACACCATTGCCTGTGCCAGTATCCACGTACACATCATCTTATACAGAAGACAGCAACGGATCAAGATCATATCCTTCGACACCGTTGCATACAGTCCAATCGCAAGAAATTTATCAAGAGACCAATGAACCGATGCTTTCCAGTCCTACTTTAAATTCTTTGAACTTACATAATGAAACAGTGAACGAATCTGCCTCCGGCAGTTTGTGTAGGAACGTTGTGGATCTGCTCGAAGCTAATTTTCTTGGAGAAACAGACACAGAGACAAACGATTTGGACCCGCTTGGTAATTTCGATGGGTTGCAGGACGATGATTCATTAACTCCTTTATTTAATGAAGTGACAGAGCCTAATCGTTGAAAGCACACACAGAAATATTACATGGATCTTGAGAATTTACATAGTGATCTACCAAAGGTTGGAAACATAACTCTTAAGTTGTATGTTTGTAGGACTTTATTCGACGCTGATATAATTCTTTGCATAAGTAATGCAGTTCAATATGCAAAGCGTTATGATAACGGGGTACAGGCTGAACCAATATGAAGTTTCTATCTTTCGACATTATTGGAGCGATAGAATAATTTGTTTAATAGAAATCGTATCGCAGAAAGAAGAATCGTTACCGCTATATTGACTTCGTTTTTATCAATCGATATCATCGCCGTTTGTACGCCCTGAGATTTTTATTTCAACAAATATATCTACAACTTTCTTATTGTCGAAGATATTTAAGATAATTATTTATATCGGCGCACTCTGTATAACGTTGACAAATGTCTTACTTTCTTGTGCTTAAATCGAGTAACTAATATTACAGCGATCAAATAATCATATACCGATTTGACCCTATTTACAATAAATATTTATTTTATATTCGGTAGGAGTGTAATAGTAAAATTTGGTAACAGCAGAACTTTCTTCCGTGCGTAGTTCCAATCATGATAATTTACATGGCTTTGTACCTCGGAATATTAAATTTAATTAAAATATTAATCATTTTACTATACAGTTTATTCCATTTATCTTGCTCGCCTTAACGTCTTCGTTACGATTGGCAAAAGAAAATTGGTTTTAAATATATCTTTCTTTTGTCAAAAGTTGCTGAGATACAAAGACGCGTACGGTAAACGAAGCATCCTGTATGCACACTCATATATACATATGTATATAAAAGAAAATTGTCATCTGAAACTAATGTTATCAATTTATCTTAATTGCAGTACCATAAAAAGTATGACGAGAGCAGCTTATGATGGAAAAAAAAATCAGATACAAACGAAAAAATGTTACAAAGTTTGACGAGTAAATTATAAATAATTTCGAAGCAGATAATAAGTGTACAATTCAATTTAATCTATAAAGAGCAGAAAACAAAGTGAGTAACTGCCAATTTTATTCACTTCAGATTTGTGTCGCTAAGTTTTTTAAGTAAGTAAACAAAAAAAAAGAACACTGTGATGTAAATGTAAATCTCTGAAATATATTTCTTGAATTTGCCATTAGCAAAACTAAAAAAAAAAATGTGTAATGTCTCCAGTGGAGCTATAAGCGTCTTTGGTGGAACATTAAGTTTGCAAGTGTGAACAAATGACGAGGATGTTGCTCAAAATGGAGCAGTCGTTGCTATGAGATGCATTTGAGATTCGAATAAGTGGAAGTTGATTTTATAGAAATACTTTATATTCATCGTTTTGAAACGTTTGTTTCTAAGTCATTTGAGAACGCGTTATTGCGACTTTGTTATTCTAAGAAATACTTCGATCACCTGCTGGCCATGGGTGAGCTTTTTTTTACATAACAAATTCGGCATTGAACCCAGTATATAATACTCTTCTGAACATCAGAAAGTCAAACTGCGAATATATGTGTGCGTAAATGTTTTATTTTATTTTATATCTCAACAAATTGTAAAGCTTGTGTTTGTTTAACGAAACATTTCAACATTTAAATCAGAAGTATTCAAACTGCAAAAATTTAGATTTATTTATCAAATTGTGAACATTTTATCGTATTTTCTTCAAAATTTTGACTCAGCTCTCGTACAGCTGTAGATTTCTTTCCATGTTGTTAAATTTAGTATCATAGCATCAACATTGTTCGAATACAGAACTTATATAATTTAATATTTGAGAACTTCTGTTTTATATTAAACAAAATATACACTTAAAGTATACTTCGATTTTGTACTGGATTCTACATCGATAATAGTGCTATATAATTGTTACTATAGCGTGGTTTTTACTTTGCTCATAGTACTTTGTTCATCAAAGAAATTCCAAATTGTCGTACTAATATCGCCAATTTATATCTATTATCTATGGCGCTCTTAATTGGGAATTTCACCAATTGGATAGTTGTTTAATTGATTTTTACTTATACACATTATAATTAGCTAGCTCTCGAAGCTAGAAAAAGTAGATACTTTATAGGAAATATCTTCTTGTTTAAAATTATTTTTTTAGGTCGAAGTCTTAATGATGCGTTTCACATTTGTAAAGTATTACATTTTTATAAAATATAGAGTAGTAAACGTAATTTACTTCCAAACGACCGCAAAACAATGTAAATTGTTACATAGTATGATTTTTGTGAAATCTTGTCTTTTTATCTTTTTTTTTTTAAACAGTTACTAGTGACATACAAATGGCATGAACCGAATTCTTGTTCTCGTATTGATGACATATTAATTAGAAGATTCAACGAGCAATTATTATGACAATAAAAACGACTTGATTTGACGTTTGTATTTTTGCAAAATTCAATCCTTATTTATTTATGCTTAACTAATTACACTAGCATTACAGGGGGAACTAAAATGTTTCGAAAGCATTTGGTTCATGCTATTCCTATACAATATAAAACATAAGGCATTACATTGCTAATAACTCTTTTTTATTGCCATTTTACATATTGTAACTGAATCAACAACTATTTGTGAGAATCCGATGAATTTCGAATCCCGTGAGTCTAGATAGTGCTAAGCATGTATAATGCTTTCCAATTTCATAGCTTGTCCATAATTAACCTTTCAATGGATACTGTGAATAGACATACTAATCCTAATCTTCGGAGGACATTTATTAAATTTAGCAAGAAAATTTTCTTTTTTTATAATAAACAGCAATAGCCCGGTATATGACGAAATTATAAGATGAACTGAAGGACAGTTGCTTTTTAGGAAAGTTTTAAATATAATGAAAATGCCAAGAACAGTATGCGTGTGCGTGCGTGACTATTGTCAGTGAAACAAATATGTTGACTTTCTTATAGTTAACATCTTTCATAGTTAACAACTGCCGAAAATGCTTTTGGCTTCAAAAATGTAGTTCATCACTTGCAGGGCCGTCAATAATGGGTCCAAAGTGACCTTCACAACAGATAGAGCTTATAAGTTAATCATCAAATCTGACTCAATTTTTGTGAGAATCATTGTATTTGTTGCACTGACAATGCGTGCTTGCGTGTGTGCATCAGGGTGTCCCAAGTATCTCTGCGAATACGTTGAGGTATTCACGGAAATGTTTACCGTAAGAATACGAGGAAAACGAAGATTCTTTCGGGAAAGTAATATCCATTGAATATTTATTAAAAATGTTGCTCAAAGTTTGCATAAAATATGGTTAGATCCCTGTAAAATTGTTACTTTTTCTCTACTTCTCATTTCGCAAGTTGCCAATACAGTATTCCTTTGTTAGGACACGACCCTAAGTTTCTGGGGACATGGTATCTATTAGCAGGCACTGTTCCGTGCGCTAACAAGGGAGCACTGTACTATTACTATTTACCTCTAAACAAATCCTCTGATTCGTCCTTGGTAAATGTATAGAGTGTGATTAGCGTAAAGTAACGTAGAAGCAATTATCCTGGAAAGTTGAAGACATTTGATAAAATTCTTACACGTTTAAGACGGCCATTTCACACAGAATATTTTTATGTATCAATTTTTTCCTTTCGTGTTAAAACGACTTCCTGTTATACATGTATGCATTTATACGTCTGATATCACGTATACATTGTCTGCAATAAGATTCTGTCAAGGACATTGGTGACGACGGCAGACTAAAAGTGAGTAAAATAAGAAAATCGGTAGTATTAAGCGTTCGACGACTAGTTGCAATCACAATTGTATGGAAAATAAAAATCTCATCATTTTCATTTTATCCAACGGGAGGCAATTTCAATAGACTAACATTAAGAATATGCTAATACCGATCTCATTTAATTTTTCATAAAATCAGAATACATTTATGCAATTACTTTCTCTCAAAGCAAGTTTTCGTGGCAAGTTAAAACTCGTTCTGTTTAACGTAATAAAAATAAAGAAAGGGTAGCATCGATATTTTATATAATGGATTTACAATTTATCATCTCTTAACATCGCGCCCCCCCCCCCCCCCCCCAAAATTTTNTACGTTGAGGTATTCACGGAAATGTTTACCGTAAGAATACGAGGAAAACGAAGATTCTTTCGGGAAAGTAATATCCATTGAATATTTATTAAAAATGTTGCTCAAAGTTTGCATAAAATATGGTTAGATCCCTGTAAAATTGTTACTTTTTCTCTACTTCTCATTTCGCAAGTTGCCAATACAGTATTCCTTTGTTAGGACACGACCCTAAGTTTCTGGGGACATGGTATCTATTAGCAGGCACTGTTCCGTGCGCTAACAAGGGAGCACTGTACTATTACTATTTACCTCTAAACAAATCCTCTGATTCGTCCTTGGTAAATGTATAGAGTGTGATTAGCGTAAAGTAACGTAGAAGCAATTATCCTGGAAAGTTGAAGACATTTGATAAAATTCTTACACGTTTAAGACGGCCATTTCACACAGAATATTTTTATGTATCAATTTTTTCCTTTCGTGTTAAAACGACTTCCTGTTATACATGTATGCATTTATACGTCTGATATCACGTATACATTGTCTGCAATAAGATTCTGTCAAGGACATTGGTGACGACGGCAGACTAAAAGTGAGTAAAATAAGAAAATCGGTAGTATTAAGCGTTCGACGACTAGTTGCAATCACAATTGTATGGAAAATAAAAATCTCATCATTTTCATTTTATCCAACGGGAGGCAATTTCAATAGACTAACATTAAGAATATGCTAATACCGATCTCATTTAATTTTTCATAAAATCAGAATACATTTATGCAATTACTTTCTCTCAAAGCAAGTTTTCGTGGCAAGTTAAAACTCGTTCTGTTTAACGTAATAAAAATAAAGAAAGGGTAGCATCGATATTTTATATAATGGATTTACAATTTATCATCTCTTAACATCGCGCCCCCCCCCCCCCCCAACAACTATTACATAGTGGTGTAACTAACTGCAAAGTAAGAATAGTTGCAGCAAATAGGGGCAAAAACAAGATGGCTTCGGTTGTTCCATAAATTCACCAAATTCTTCTGCTTCGCAAGGCACGCAAAAAGTACCTATAGTTAAAAGCACATACACACATCTTGTATCGCCATCATTGATACATATTTGCGATTAATTTCATCAATCGATTAATCATAATATTTTATTAATTCTTTCCAATCGTAAGATCTAATCGATCGTATAAATTAAATATTGTAACCGATGAATACGCATGTCTGCTATACACATTTTAATGAATGAAGAGGGTCAATGTATGCAAAATCATTTATTTATAATTATTTGATGGGTAAATAATGAAAGTGTTTGTTTTTATCGACACTAGATATGTACTTGCGTTTAGATGCGTGAATTATTTGGCGCTGCGAAGCAATCATGGAATACTACAGCATGAAAGAAATCTGCTTTCGACTGACAACTTTCAGGCAGTGAAACGGAGTTGATAACTATTTTGACATTGGGTGCGTGGTGTGTGAAATTTCATTTCGCACCATAGAATACCATGGAGTAGATTGGAATACTATTTAACAATTGTTATTGTATTCGACAATCTTCTCGTTTTCTAACCAATTTATATTGAAGTCCTAATAGAATTAATCAAGAGCAATATAATAATTGTTATTTATAATAAAAGAAGTTTTATATTTGTCAACTGTGAAATCATGTTGAAACCAAAAGCTCTCACACAAGTACTTAGCCAAGCAAATACAGGTGGAGTAGAAAATACGTTGTAAGTATTGCATATCCTCTGATCACTGTTACAAGTATTCTAAATAATTTGTTCCTTTTTCATACACTGCGCATTAATCATTCAAAATAATTTCAGCTTGTTGAACAGAGATGGTGGTTTATTAGCTTATAGTGGATATGGGGATAAAGATGCAAGGGTAACAGCTGCAATTACAAGTAATATTTGGTCAGCTTATGAAAAAAATGGACGAAATGCATTTAAGGAAGATGAATTGCAATTTGTACTAATGGATTGTGTGGTAATTATTAAATACTTTGTTGCGCACTCAATATATAGATTGAACTGTTTAAGTAAGGCACAGTGCTATAGAGAGCTCGTGTAATTGTTTAAAGTTATATATTCCAAATTATTTCCAACAAAGAAGCTTAAATTATATTGAACAATATGTATAATCCACTTACATTGATCACTCACTTATCGAATAAATGTTTTGTAGGAGGGGAAAGTTGTAATCACTGAAGTAGCAAACTTGTTGTTATGTTTGTATGCAAAAGAAAATGTAGGATTTGGTTTACTAAGAGAAAAGGCACAAGCCCTAGCAAGATATCTTGATCAACCATTGAAAACAATAGCCAATATGCCTTGAATATCATACCTACGTAAGAACATCTTGCATCAACTGTGTCATAATGATAATTGTATATTCTAACACTTATAATTTTTTGTAAAAATTTATGATTTGTACTACCCTTGAAATAATATATTTTTAATAAATCAGAGGGTTATTTATTGGTTTCAAAACCTGAATATTATAAACTCCAAATTCATAAATCAGATGGAATATTTAAAAGTACAAATCTGATAGCATTTAAAAATTATTGCTATCAACAAAATAATATAAAAAGAACCAACCTAGTGACTAGTTTTTTAACCTCACTTAAGCTACATACATAGTTACTCTAGATGGCGTGTATCATCACATTCTTG